TATATATATATATATATATATATATATATATATATATATATATATATATATATATATATATATTCAAATAATTTGTATATAATTTGAAAACTTATTTAAATCTGTGTAGAGATAATTTAAATACATATTACTATTTATTATTAATAATTTAAATATATAATTTAAATTATCTATAATTAACTTATAAATAATTTATAATTTTATATATACTTTATAAATAATTTGAATATATACTATTGATTATATAGATTTAAATAATTTGACTTATAAATCACAATTGACAATATACGAATATAGATTAAATAATACTTTGAATCTGACTAAATGACACTTTAATTATATACTACTATTGATATTACATTTTAGATCACAACTGATTAGATGTCAACCCCTTCCTTTAAAAATTGAATAACGTTACATATATACTAAGGTACTAGTTTGCACCCTTTTAAGTAATTATAATTACTGTGAAACTATGTCCATCTTTTATTCCAAATTTGTGACTTATTTCATATTATTATTTTTTTAATTGCAAATTGACTTATTTTTATGGGGGCGTTTTGTTAAAAAAAATAAAAATAAATAAATAAATAAAATAATAATAATAATAATAATAATAATAATAATAATAATAATAATAATAATAATAATAATAATAATAATAATAATAATAATTAAAAAAAAAAACTATAAGTGAAAAGCAAATAAAAGATTGGTCACGTGTAGATTGGTTATTTAAGGCTGACAAATTCGGTAATAGCATATTAGGATGATTAAGAGTTAAGACTGAAATTAAGGAGAAAAAATAGGAGGGAAACTTGGAGCCAAAATTACTAAGAATAAAAATGGTAAAATATAAAAGAAAAGTAAAAAAAAAAGGAAAAAAGAAAAAAAAAAAAAAAAAGGGGCTCGCGAGGCTTTTGCGAATCAGCCTGTCACACACTTAGCACACTCAACATACCAAGGTCGTTGTATTACCATTTTACCCCTTGTCCCACTTTTCTCCCTAGCAATTGCTACAACATTGAACCCTCTTCGGACAAGCTCTTTCACTACAAAGTTTCCTATGTAACCGGTTGAACCCACTACCAAAACATTAATTTCTTTAGGGTTTTTGTTTCTGAAGTGGGTTTTGGTCGAATTTGCTGAAACTGTGAAAAGATTGAATTTTTTTGGTCTGAATTTAGAGGGTTGGTGTAAATGCAGAGAAGGAAGAGGAATAGCGTATGGGGCAGTAGTTACCTGAAATTGACTGATCAAATGGGATGCATGAAGCCCTTTGAAACTACGTCGTTTTGATGGCTGGAGTGTGAAACCATTGCCGTTTAAGGGGGTACAAGCAGACATTTTCTTGAAGAAGGATTTTTGTTTTTTTTTTTCAGACTAAATTCATAAAGACCCAAGTTTTAATTGAAGAAACAGAAAATTTTGAGGTGAAAAAAATGGCGGAATAATACTATCGGAGAAGAATCGAAATGAATGGATGATATTTGGTGGGAAATGGTAAGATCATCACCGGGTATTAATTCGGGTTTGGTAATGTTGGGTCTTGACCCGGTTAAGAATATGGGCCTAGTGTTGGGTAAAGGCCCAAAAAGAAAGAGATGCAAGTTATATTATTTTTCTCATATTTGAGTAGTTTTGAATTGACGAACGAATGGCCTAATCTATATAATATATAAAAGTTGAATTCCACACCTAATTGATTGACATTTGTCAATTTCAATTGGTGACATGTATTCAATTTCATCCCATGTGGCAAATTGATTGGTGAAAATAAATCATCAAAAAACATGTCACCATTTTCCAAAATTAAAAAATATTTAATTATTTTATTAATATATTTATATCATACCATTTATAAAATGCTCTAAATATATCAATTTTGTTGGAAACCCTAAATAGTTTTATTTTTTAATTTAATTTTAATAGTAATTAATTTAATTTAAGTTTATTTACATTCAATTTAAAATCTTCACATATTATAATTGTATAATTGATGGTGTTATGAAAATTTATTATTTTAATTCATAAACTTGGATTCTCCCCCACAAAAAATATTACAGAATAAATCATTTGATATTATACATTTTACATGAACATGGAGCAGGGAATATGTTTGTCTTTTTTACTAATTTAATAATTATAATTCGTAATTACCAAAATTTCCGTGATGTTTTGTTTTTCGTCTTACATCGCCCCCCTTACGGTATGATTTTTCATGGATTTTTTTTATTACGTGGAATATTCCTCGAAAAATGCAGATTCTACCCTGCACACGACATTTGTTTATGGTACTTTTTTAAAGACAAAAATTACCCTGAGGGGGACTTTACACGAAATATTTATTCTTCTTAAATAACATCTTCACAACTTTTTAGTATTAATATTACCTCCCCTAAGGGTAATTTTTGTATTTAAAAAGTAAGATAAAAGAAATGCCATGTCTGCAAGGGTAGAATCCACAATTTTTTGGATATTATATGGAATAAAAAAGATTCCGTAAAAAAATCACACCATAAGAGGGTCGTATAAGACATAAACAAACATTTGGGGGATTTTGCTAATTCTCAATAAGTGGGGGTGATTTCCGTAATTCAACCTAAGTTCATGAGGATTTTCGTAATTTATCCTATTAGCAACGACTATCGTTATTTTCACGTCTTAATGTTTGCTTATACCCTTATATTATTTTAAATAATTTTAATGTCAGTTTGATAATATAATTAAATATTAATTTCTAATATATTTAATATGTGTTTCTTGATGTTTCAGGAACCACACACGAGGAATTTGATATAAAAAGTTACGAGATTGAATATAATTTTCTTTTATACAAAATAATAGACAATTGCAAAAACATTGATGCAAAATCATAATTAGGATTGTGATTAGTATTAGAATTAGAATTGTAATTAATATTCTTTGAATTAGTATTAGTATTAATACTAGGATTAGGATTTGGATTAATATAGTATTACAGTTAATATTCGGATTATGATTATGATTAATATTAGTATTAGAATTATAATTAACATTATAATTATTGATTCGTACTACAATTAGTGACATATATTAGTATTATGATAATGATTACCATTAGGATAAGGATTATGGTTAGAATTATAATTATAATTAACATTAGCATAACATTAGTATTATTAGTAGTAAAATTATTAGGATTATAATTAATGTTAGAAATAGGTTTATGATTAGAATTTTGACTAGGATTAGAATCATGATTAGTGTCATGAATAGGATTAGGAATAAGATAAGGATTTAGATAATATTAGTATTACAATTATAATCAGCATAAGTATATACCAGATTAACATTAACATTAAAATTAGTATTAGCATTAGAATATGAACACTAGAATTAATATTAACAATATTAACATATAAGTATTAGAAATAGTATTAATATTAATATTAGTATTAATATTAATATTAGGATTAGTAATAGTATTAGTATTAATATTAGTATTAATATTAGTGTTAGAGGGTGTTTGGCTAGGCTTATTTTAAACAGCTGATAAGCTCTTACATCTGATAAGATGTTTTAAGAGCTGGTAAGCTGTTAGATCTTATTTTATAGATTTTATTTTAAAGTGTTTGGATACGGAGCTTATAAGATATTTTACTGATTATAAGCTCTTAAAGTGTTTGGCAATATAGGATCTGTTTATTCCCATAATGACAAAAAAGGACATTGCACTATTAAAATTCATAATTTAGTTTTTTTTTTTTTTATGAACGTTGAAAACTAAAAACATAAAATATTTTATATTACTAATTTATAATCTTTTAACTTTAATAAAAAAAACTATTCTCTTTACAATGTAATGACATATATATATATATATATATATATATATATATATATATATATATATATATATATATATATATATATATTTTTTTTTTTTTTAAAATATTTAATAGAACATTTATTGTTCGATAAAAACATAAATCAACATAATATTCATAGAAATTAAATTTATTGCTCATCACATGAATATGATTTGATAAAAAACTAATCTTTCAAAGTATAAAAGGTTTATTCAAACAATGTATAAGCCAAATAAAAAGAGATGTTCATGTTAATAAGAAAAAAAAAAACACAGATAAAAATAAAAATAAATAAAAAAGATATGCATAATGAAAATGTCACACTCTTCCAGCAATGTCCATAGCAAGAGAGTCACGGAGTGCCATCCAATAAGCATTTCGGGGAGTATTTTCTTCTTCTACGTTAGTAGCTCCAGTAGTTGCTTCATGACTATGTTCTTCACCGGAATAATTTTCATCCTCTGCTATTTGGAAAGCCTCATCTGAAACATTTGTTTTTCTTATATACTTGTGAACGGCCATAGTTACTAGCACAATTTCTCTTTGTGTGTCAATATGATAATAAGGCATATCGTGCAAAATATTCCATCTTGCTTTCCACACTCCAAATGTTCGTTCAATAATATTTCGACACGAAGAATGATAATAGTTGAACTTTTCTTTCGAACTTCTTGGGGCACGTAGTTGCCGACTACTAGCTCGACGAAAATCTTCAAGATGATATCTAACATTCTCACCTCTATAAGGTCCCATGTATCCTGACATATGCGAGTATCCGGCATCAACCTAGTATTTTTTTCCTTTTGGAATAGGAAAATTGAGATTGGGATTACGTATAGCTTCTCCAAATATCCTGTTATCATGGGCAACTCCTTCCCATCCAACCCATACAAATGTAAAACACATATTGAAATCTACAACTGCAAGAATATTTTGAGTGGGATACCCTTTTCGTCCGATATATGGTATTGTTTTTCCCTGTGGTAATCGAGCCTTAACATGTGTGCCATCAATTGCTCCAATACAATCCTATAAATCATACAAACAAATATCATATGCAAATTATTTAAAAGGTCAATACATATATACTATATAAAACGAAATCACTCACTTTAAAAAATGGCATGTAGCGCTCGTGTTGCGGCTTGTGATATCCTTTGCCTTCATTATACTCAGGATGGGGTGTGATTATAGTATCGGCTAGTTTACCGACCACCTTTAAAACTCTGTGAAAATGCCTTGAGATAGTCTCACCTGAATGGTTGAATAACTCTTGCAATAACCTATTATCCACACCATGAGCACAAGTCACTAAAAAAACTCCAACTTCCTCGTACAGAGACATTCCCCTTGTTGGACGGAGACCATATTTATGGGCTAATTCATGACAAAAATCCATAAATACCGATCTTGATAGACGAAAAGCTTGATAACACCTCACTTCATGTCCATTTAATATCTCCTCTAAACATCTATGACCTGTACGAATAGATGTTCGACATGGTATTTTGTGTACGTAGTTCTGATAATAAGTTAAGATGCTACGTGTTGTTATTTGGCACATAACCAACCACTCCAAATCATCTCGAAGATGGTTTTCATCTTCAACAGGTTCCTCGTCAACAAAAATATTTGGAAAAATCAAAGAGCAATTTGAAATATTCCACCAATCTATTTCAGCTGAATCTAAAAACCTCCATGGCTCCATTCACTGTCCAAAAAAATATACAGAAAAATTTATAGATCAATATATCATTAAAAAGTTTTCATTAAACAATAACTAGCCATTTCTTATTTAAGAATTTCAATAGCAAACCTTAACAAAAATTTAAGTCCACAAATTGAATTAACAGCACAAACATACAAATTGAATTAACAACACAAAGCACAAACACACAGACCAATAAAAATATATAATAACTATATTTATAAATTTAGTTACGAAGGTTCTTATAAACTCCAAAGAACAAATATAAAGAAAATCATTATTTTATTGCAAAACTAAACCAAAAAACATGAGAAAAAAAATCCAATACATAATGTAAAGTTGACTAGTCCAACAAAAAACAAAAACTATGATATCTCAAGCACTACATTTAGCGATTCTTTTTATACTTGTTAAAGTTATACTCTAGCCAACTTAATCGAGCCTCGTCCGAAGGTTGATTAGCGAATATTTCTCGCATATCCTTTTTGCTCATTAAATTACTAGCATAATTCCAAAGTTCACTTAACGAGGGTATTCCAGAGAGGTTATTTAACATCTTCAATGCTGTTGCGATTGTTATCTCTATGGAGAGTGTTGAAGTGGTACTACTCTTCTTTTCCATAAATTGAAGAAGAGAATGAATATCTTCCTTTAATGAAGCTGCCCCAGATACCTTTTTTTTGACTTTATGGCTTTCTCCAATGGATTTTCTCTTGAGAGTTGAAAAGGATGGAAACACAATTTCTTTGGCATTATCATCTTCTTCTTTCATTTCGGGATTTGTATTGTACTCATCTACTCCAATATAATCATTGTCATCAATATCGTCAATTTCCACATGTTCTTCGACTTCATTAAACTCCCCATTATTTTTAAACAACTCTCCATCGTTGTCAATTTCATTCTGAGTTCTTTGGTTTGGTGCTCGTGCTCTTTCTCCCGTAGCAGCAACATCAGAAAATAGTTTATCATAGCGAAACCAAATTAGTGATAAATCTTTGTTCCTAAACTTGTTATAGTCTCCATTTTCCTGCAATAATCATAGGTACTACGTTATCTAAGATATTATTAATAAAATATATAAGTAAATGTATAAGATTTGTGTTAGAAAATTACTCTAAGTTTTCGAGCCCACCACTCATCAGAAGCCTCAATTGAATTCGTCAAGGGATCCCATCCAATTCCAGTCTCCTGGTGCATTAATTTCTTAAACAAAATCCAATCTTTCTTCATAGAATCCCAATGATTGCGAAGTTGCTTATAAACATAGTTTTTTCCCGTCACCTCGTTGAACCTCCTAACCAAAATTTTCCACCCACTGGAATTGAAGTGACTATTTGGCCTATTGCCTTTTCCAATTTCCTCCTCACATAACTCAATAAACTTAATATTCATAAATTCGTTCCACCTTGCAGAGGATCTCCCTTCACTATGCTGCTGATTTATTTTCCCTGAATTCTTACTTTGCCTTTAGCCAAAACTGTATATTCATGACTTCTTGTTTC